TCTTTTCCAACCGAGCGATTCTCTGTGTGTGATATGCAATGTATTACTAGCAAAGTGCTTTCTTCTGGTATTCTAAGCCCTGAAGAAAGACTTGTTTGTTTTTCCAAATATAATATTTATATTCCTAAAAATACTACCTCTCTACAAAGCTGGCTCTTACAGCTTCAGCAAAGACACTGATGCTTGCTCTCTTCCCGTGTGGAGCCAAAAAAACAGCAGGTGGAGAACATGGGTATGTTTTGGGCTGAGCCTCCACGTTGTCATCTGGAAGATCTAGTTTGAGTATTCATCCTGTCTCAGCTACTTTGCGAGTTGCTTAATCTTGGTGCCTCTTTATCTCACCTGGACAGGAGGATATGCCCCTCTTGTCTCGTTCAGGGGCAGAGTTCATGTCTTACTACAGAATCAAGTATCATGGGAAGCTGATTTACCCTTAACCCATGCCAACGTTATCTGCAGAAGCCATGCAAGGCACAGCCAGCTTTGTGGTGACCTGGAACAGGCTGAAAAGTGCATGGAAAAGGCAGGTATCTGCAGTGAATTAAAAAAAATAGGCAGAATAAAAGACTTTCTGTCAGACTGAAGTAACTAGATGCTTATCCATGCAAGTGTATGAATCAAAGCATTGTCCAGCCCTTGTTCAAATTCAGCAGGCCAGAAAGTCAAGTTGCTTTTCAAAGGCATGTCACGCAGTTAAAGGACAAAGGGTGCAATGTCCTGGAGGTCCAGGGCAGGCAGTGATCCATGGTTCTGAGCAGGAACAGTGACCACAGCACAAACTGCTTCAGGTTGGCAAACACAGCTAAATATTCATGACAGCAGCCCTGAATACTGCTGCTCAAGGGAAAATAATAACGTGGGATGTGGTGAAACGGGACAGCTGTCTGAAACAAAGCACATTCCTTAATCCACATGCGAGGAAACATACAGAGGTGAAAATCTGCCATAGATCAGCTTGAAAATCAGTCTGATTCCTTTTGGAAGAGAAAATACAGGTACAGGTGTCAGTGTGGACAACACGGAGCGTTCAAACATGAGGTTCCCATTTCCCCTAATCCTAAGACTTTTCTTAAAAAAGCCCTCAAGTAAATAAATGCTTGTGATTGCTGTTCACAATATTCCTTCAGACCGAGACTCCTACGTAAGCCCCTGAATCCAGAAGCCGGAATATAAAGTAAGAGCAAACAAACAGCTATTATGGACTGCTGCAGACAGCAATATGATTAACCATGAATATCATTAATGTCTCTGTTAGCTCACAGGACAGAATAATAAAGTGGAACAGGCCAAACGTACGATAATCTCAGGCATCTGCCAAAGCCTAGAATAATAAAGAGAAGAACAGTCACTCCAAGATGAACCAGAAACTTTATCAACATACTCAACCAGGGGAAATTTCCATTTTTTCAATGCCATCAGAAATAAAGCAGAAAGCGAACTGATAATATTCACATATGGAAGTTACTTAAACTGATCAGTCTGATGGGTTATTTGTAACTGAAAAACCAGCCAGCTCATATGAGGCATGAGATTTAAAGAAAGCTATAAAACGCGAATATTAGCAGCAGAAAGCTTTCCAAGATAGCTTAACTCTCAGAAACAAAGACGCTCACAATCTGAAATGCAGCGCCTGTGGTTTTTGCCATCCAAAGTTAGATTAATCAGGCTCTAAGATAGCAATTTATTTGGATGTTACGCATTTAAATGAACACCACTTGACATTCATTCTGTCCCCAAAGTGCTTCAAAGAGCTAACTGCGCTGATTTTTGAGGGATTACAAAGTGATGAAGTTTTCTTGGATGAAATTTTAATTTGAGCTGAGGCCTTAAAATGGTACAGTGAAACACTGATTTTTTTTTTCTTACTGACATAGACACAAAGTCTCCCAGCATTAAATTTTTAACAGTACATACTAGTCTGGAAAAAGCTATTTGTAGGGTCCACTCAACTGCTTTCCACAGTGACTCAGGTAACAGAAAGTGACAGTTAAATGTCTGTATCATGATGAAGTAAGGAGCACATCGCTGTGAGAGTGATAAAGCCATGGAAGCTCCTGCAAAGAGAAATACAGCATCTTATGTGTTGTGCTCAGCATAAAACAGATTTATCAAAGATAAATTGACTTTATCTAAGGTCAGCAGAGGGTATTTTACAGTTTATGACATGTAGGAGAAGAGATTATGTGATCCAAGTGCCTTAAATCTACATATATACAGATTCAAGGTAACATATATTACACAGGCAAAATCCAGTTCATATTAAGAGAGGACTGCACATCCCCAACACAAGTCAATAAACTGACCTTGTTCTAGCACTGCAAGGAAAAGATGTAAACATGGCTTACTATTAAATTCAAAGACCAAGGGAAGACTCTGAAACTGTGTCTGCAAGAGTGTGACAGGTATTAGTTGTACCCAAGTCACCTGGACAGAGACTTGACAGATGCTAACATCACCGCGTCTGCCAGGACCAAGCACAGCTGACACCAGAACACAGTGAGGAGGAACATTATCGATCGTGCCCTGAGAAAAGCTTCCAGATCCTGTTAAAAAAAAGCTGAAGAAATACAATGCATTAATAACAGGTGCAGGGTTTCACAAAGCATTAAAAAATCCGTGGTCCACGTTGGGACGGTGATCTCTGGTAACAGGTCCAAAGCAGGGGAACGCGTCACACCACAAAGCTCACATCCCTTTAACTTCTTGGTGACAAGAAGCAGCTCCGAGAGCCTGACCAAGCACTGAGGCAGAAGACTGTGAACGTGGTTAAAGCAAGCGCTTTGGTTCCCTCTTCAGCAAAGTGACCCCTCTGCGTTTGTTCAATTTTCTCCTGCAGGTAATTGCCGACTAAAACCGCAGCAAGTCTGCACTCAACCTGGCTGGTCAAAGGAGGCGTTGTTTGTATTATGGTTTCTTGCTCCTGAAGGTTTTTAATAAAAAGGGAGTCAGATTTTCTGAAAACACCTACATAATCGAGAGCTTTATTAATTGGCACAACAGAAATAGAAATAGGATAGTACTGGTAATGGTTTACTTTTGAGGTAGAAAAGGGCATCTATTTTCCATCAACAGGATAATAAATCAGTGCAGCTTGTAACACAACGATTTGTTAAACACGTTTTGCAGTGTTGGTAACACAGATGTTTTTGCACTGAATGCCTTCATAAGACGTTTATGAGGCTACTCAGTTTTGACACTAAGCATGTGTAACAATGTATTAGGTGATCCTAATAAAGCTAAATGATGCAAATGTAGTGTTTAACTAGTTGAATAAGCTATCTTGAATATACTATGCAATATGTAACCATGAACAGCTTTCAAAGAATCTGTAAATTGTATTTTAGGGGCTAAAAATGAGCATTTGACTGATGAGGTATTTTTTGAAAAGCTTTCCCCATGGTAGGATCTCTGGCAGCTATCATTATTCTCACTCTGACCAAGATAAAGATAATCCGAGTCTATGAGTAATAACAAATCTTCTGCTGACTAAAATGCTCTCTAGTGCTCTCTGCATTTTCAGCAATAGGCTATTAACTCATCCCTTATTCAGTTTCTACAATAACCTCCTTGTAACTTTGTCACCTTTCACACGACTGGAGGGACAAAGCTGGCAGGGAACTAAGAGGAGAGCAAGCTCTATCTTCCACTAGCTACAAGAAGAAAATGGAGAAGTGCTCTGCATTACACACCCAGTGATCGTCCCTCTGAATCAATCAAAAAATGGTTCTCATTATTGTAAAAGGAAAATTAAGAGAAGCGATGTGCTGAACAAGGGGTAAAGGGTTAACATTCCCCAGCCCCAAAGCCAGGAATAAGCACCACATCCAGAAAAATGCATTAGCACCATCACACCGGCAGACACTGACACAGGATGCCAGGAACCACCCAGCGAGGGACTCGGAAAAGAATGAGCAATAAAAAGTCAGGCATTGAGGTGACATCTGCAGAGGCTGGAGAACAATTTCCAGAGAATGAATGCCTTTTAATGGAGTGAGGTTTATCTGTCCCTGCTAGAGATCATTACTATGAGAAACGACGAGAGCCGCCTGCATCGCTTTCTCCCTGCAGGACGCATCTGAAGGGGAATAAACCTCTTTCCTTCTTCTCCAGTGTCATCTTGTTATTCCCAGTACTGGCTATAATTGAATAAACTTTATTCAGACTATAGCTAAATTTAGCAGATATTAGCATAAACTCTCTAGAGGGGTGAAAACGGAGGAGGAAAGCTTTAAATAAATAGACTAAAGTAATACTGAATAATAGATGCAACCTATGGTGGAGTGAACCTCTGCACCCAAGGAGTCTGGCACAGTTAAATCTGGATTCTGGGACCTTGCTGAGACAAAACATGACACCACTGCTGGCTGTCCCCCTTCCTCCCAGCCTGTCATTATTATTAACCCAGTGATGGTGCGGTCGCTCAGAGCTCTGGCCCCATTGCAGTGGCTCCCTGAGGGTGTAACACAGAGGGGCCTGCGAACGGGCTGCCAGACCACGCACTGCAGCAGCAGGAAAGAGGGGCGATAAGGATGGCCCACCAGCAAGAACACGACACCGCGAACCACCCTAGCTCAGGATGAGCCGAAAATAACCCCGACGCAACATGGCGCCATGGCCCTTCCCGGCCAACA